CACACCTCCGTAGATTTCAAAGGCTTGCGTGTAGAAGAATCGTTTGGTCATCAGACCTTCTAGCGCTGGACGGGAGAAAGGGTGGGCGGAACGATCGACGTTCGATGCGCTCTTTTGTCCATCTTGATCTGGTGCTGGTGGTGCTGCTGCTGCGGCGGTGGTGGTGGTGCTGATGGATGACATGTTGATCGTGTGATGAAGAAGGCGTCGAGTGGAGTGTGGAGCGTGGATGGATGGCAGGGAAGCTGAATGGAGAAGAGACAGGGGCAGAGGCAGAGACAGGGGCAGCAGCTGCGAAGAGATGCAAGGGCGTATGGAGCGTAGCAGCATTCACGGGGAAAGACGGAGTCAAGTTGCTTGCTGGTCGCCGGCGCATTCAAAGCAGCTCGTAGTGAGGATGGATCTCTGTGAAAGTCAAGTCGTGCGTGGCGGGCGATTCGAGGGATGCTGGCTGCGGCTGCGGCTGCTGAAAGTCAAAAGTCAAGAGTCACGAGTCAGGAGTAGCGTGATCAGCACTGTGACTCAGATCCACATTCACATTCTCCATCCACTTTCACCCACTCCAGCCAGCGTCAGCGTTGGTTGCATCTCGAATGGCAGCCAGCTTGCTTCATCGCATGACTCGCCTCGCCCACTCTGACTCGCTATGCGTTGCATATTGTGTGTGATTCATCAAATCAAAATTGGCTGGCCATCCACGCAGACAGGCAGACAGGCAGGCAGAATCAAGAATTCGCATTCGTGCGAGTCAGTCACGTGAATGGACAGGGTACAAGTCACGTGGATGCATAGAGGCGTCGCTGGTATGCATGGCACACACTCACTCCTCACTCAAGACTCTCCACGCTTTGGCTCTGATCATTCAAGTTCATCGCTGTTGTATTCATGATTGCATCCCCTTGCGACTCTGGACTCTGGCACTCACACCCTCATCATCAAGCCTCACACTTGCGCGGCTCTACCGCTCGCCTAGCAGTCACCCGTCGAAGCGTACAACACGCGCGCTCTCCAGCGCATCACACACTCTTGACTCCCCCACACTCGACGACCATGTCGCTGCTGAACCACCGCACAACAACAACCTCTCTTCCCTACGCCCTCGACGCATCCACCCCGCTCTCCCCCTCCGAACTCAACGTGCTTCGAGGTCAGTACGAAAAGGAAAGGGCGAGCGGTCATGCTACGACGCAGACCAAGTTCAATTATGCTTGGGGATTGGTAAAGAGCGATAAGAGGGAAGAGGTGGGTGAAGGTGTTGGCGTTCTTGCTGGTGAGTTTTGGCGGCAGTTAGTCGGTCGCGTTCGTGTGGCTGGGCGTTTTCTAGTATGTCGCAGTGAGGATGAGGAGGGAGGAGGAGGAGGAGGAGGAAGCGCAATGGGGATGCGGCAGGCCTCGTATGATATCGCGCCTCATCACAATCAAAGCCAACAGAGCATTCAGCTGCTGCATTTCAAGTCAACTTTCAATTTGAATTCATACAAGCGTATGCACCTCAGAGGCACACAAACTCACTCACTCGCTCTCACGCACACTCACACACAATGACAGATATCTACAGATCAGATCCTCCTAGGCGAAGGGAATGTCTGTACTACCTCAGCCTGGGACACTACAAGATGGGCAACTTTGATGAAGCTAGGAGATTCAATTGTGAGTTTCGCCAGACTCGGCGCTGCAGCCATCATCTCGAGTTTGCATGTAGGCTGGGGGGCCAAGGGGCGGGGCGAAGGGGAGCATAGGTGCTGGTCAGGGG